AGCTGGAGCCGAGTCATTAAGCACTGGTTCAAGCCAGCAAAGAGGGAGTTGCAGTACTCTAGCCTAGAGATGATAAAAGCATTGGCTACAGTTTTCAACTCCTGTTTAGTTAAGATGGGCTTAATGTTAGACAAGCGCCTTAACTGATAAAAACACGAACGAACAACAGAGTTCTCCTGACTGTCAAACCGCAGACCAGAGTCTATCTTGACACCCAAGTCCGTAATCACGGACTTCTCATAGGGAAGCAACAACGAAAGGTCCAATCCATGGGTCTGGCGGTCAATTGGAGTAAAAACTACTATTTCAGTTTTTCCCTCATTTAAAGAAAGGAAGTTGGACCCCGTCCATTGGGTAACATCCTGCAGGCAATTCACCGGAGGCTGTAGAGTAACTCTGGCCGCCCGTTTAACAGGCATATACAGCTGACAATCATCAGCATAGAGAAGTAAATTAATGTTATGCTTTCTAAACAACAGTCCCAGTGGTAGCAGATAGAGGGAGAACAGCAGGGGCCCCAGAACAGAGCCCTGAGGAACCCAGCAGGAATTCAGCAGACAAGTGTTATAAAAACAAACTTCCTGCTTTAATCAGATTAGCTGATCAGAAGCTGAAGTGGTGATGTAGCTCAGATGGGTGTTCAAGCTGACAAAGCCCAGTTCCGCCACCCACACCTGTTCATTACCAGACCTGATCACTACAACACCTGGTTGTCACCACATCTGATCACTATATCACACCTGGTCACATAATAATAAATAATAATAATACATTTGATTTAAAAGCGCCTTTCAGGTCACCCAAGGTCACTTTACAGGAGAAAGAACACAGAACACAATAAAAATACAAATAAAACAACTAAAGGACAAGAAAACAGAATAAAATAGGTGAAATCACAATAAGCGGTTTGGAACAAATGGGTTTTGAGTTTGGTTTTGAAGAGGTTGAAGCTATCGGTGTTTCTGATGTCAGGAGACAGAGAGCTCCAGAGACGGGGAGCAGAGCAGCTGAAAGTCCTACTCCCCGTGGTGCTGAGGTGGAATGAGGGAATCACCAGATGGATGGAGGAGGAGGATCTGAGAGAACGGCAGGGTGTAGCAATGGTAATGAGGCTGGTAATGTATGGAGGGGACATGGAATGGATGGCTTTGAATGTATGGAGTAGAATTTTGAAGATGGACCTGAATTTTATGGGAAGCCAATGAAGCTGCTGAAGGACCGGGGTGATGTGGTGGAAAGTGTCCGTTCTACTAATAACACGTGCTGCTGGATTCTGAACTAGTTGGAGTTTATGAGTGAGTTTGCTAGGGAGACCGTACAGAAGTGAATTACAGCAGTCAAGGCGGGAGGTAACAAGGCTACTGACTAGGATGGCTGTAGGTTAGACGTAATGGAAGGGCTGAGACGATTTATGGGTCGGAGGTGAAAGTATGCAGACCGGGTTATGTTATCGATGTGAGCCTGAAACGAGAGAGAGCTGTCGAGGACGACACCCAGACTCTTAACCCGAGGAGTGGGGGTAACCGTGGTGTTGTCAATGGTCATGGAGAAGCTGACAATTCATACTTGATCACTACAGCAGCTTATCACTAACACACCTGGTTGTTACTGCAGCACCTGTTGGGCTGCATGGTGGCGCAGTGGTTAGCACTGTTGCCTCGCAGCACGAAGGTCGCAGGTTCGAAACTCGGCTGCGGCCTTTCTGCGTGGAGTTGCGTGTTCTCCCCATGCATGCGTGGGTTTCCTCCGGGTACTCCGGTTTCCCCCACAGATCACAACACGCCCTATAGGTTATAAACTGTGAGTCGCTTTGGATGAAAGCGTCTGCTAAACAAAAAAACATAAACATACACACCTGCTCACAACCACATCTGGTCACTACTATACCCGATCACTACCACTGGGGCGACGGTGGCACAGGAGTTAAGTGCTCGCCCTGTAATCGGAAGGTTGCAGGTTCGAGCCCCGCTCAGTCTGTTGCTGCTGTTGTGTCCTTGGGCAAGACACTCAACCCACGTTGCCTGCTGGTGGTGGTCGGAGGGACCGGTGCCGCCAGTGCTCGGCAGCCTCGCCTCGGTCAGTGCGCCCCAGGGCAGCTGTGGCTACATCGTAGCTCTTCCCCACCAGTGTGTGAATGTGTGTGTGAATGGGTGAATGACTGATTGTGTTGTAAAGCGCCTTGGGGGGTTCCAGGGCTCTAGAAGGCGCTATATCAAATACAGGCCGTTTACCACGTGTAATCTGACGCAGGGCCGTGTTGTTTCAGAGATTTGTTTTCTTAATACATAAAATCATAATTTTGTATTTATGCTAATTATCTTCATCTTAGAGTAATTGTTTGTTTGTTTGTTTGTTTTTTGTTGATCTGACACATTTAAAAGAAAAAAAGACAAAGATGAGATTTCTGCTGCGTGTCAGCTGTGGATCGTCACACAGCTGTTGGTTCCATCTCCGAAGATCCAGAAGGTCTGAGTGGTTTTGGGTGTGTCTTTGAGCCCAGATGATGCTCTAAGTCACAGAAACAGCCTCCAGCCCACAAAGTCCTCAAGCTTCACGAGTGAAGAAGTGTCTGCAGGCAAGGCTCAGGGTGGCGTGCGGAGGAGCGAAGAGACAGGCGCAAACACTGAAACATTAAAGGCGACTCGCTTTGAGCAGCTTCTACATTATGTACAACGCTGATGAAATTTAAATAAATACTTGGTTTCCTAGAAGCAGCTCCACTCAGACAGACTTAAATCTTAATGCTTGTTGTGTTTAACTGTTTGACAGAAGCTGTTCTCACACGGACCCGAGGACACAACAGCAGAATGACTAGGGACTGAACCAGCAGAAAGACCCGCTCCACCGCCGTTGCCGCTGCTGTCCAGAACCAACAGAACAAACAAAGACGTTCGAGCAGAGAAAGTTCACGACAAAAACAGACAAAAGGGGAACAAAACGAATGTTTGGGTGAAAAGAGGATCCGAGCGCAGACCCGGTCTGGTTCTGAATGACGGACTCTAATCCTGTTAAAGTTTGGCTCTGAATCCATCCGTGACCCGGTAAGAAGATTTACGGAAGCTTTGCTCCCTTCAGCAGCTTTTTATGGTAAAACTGTAGAGAAAAACACGAGTCTAAAATCCCTTAGAACAGCAGAAAGTTTTCTGTTCAGTAAAAGATGGGAGAACGTGGAACCGCGTCAACCCAACAGAACCCACCACACATCAAACGGACTTCTGCTTCAGGTTAAATCAACAACAGAACCAACATCCTTCAGAACCGGGTTATATTTATGTATCTGGCAGATGCTTTTGCCCAGAGATGCTCATGTAACAAAGCAGTTGCCATGGAGACTAATAATGAACAGTTAGAGGGAGGTGCAGGCTAGGGACTGCTGAGGAGTTGGGATCTTCTAGGCTGGTTGAAGACCAGACCTCTGGACCATCTGCAGATGTTTGAGTTTAAATCGTCTCCAGATTTAAAACAAAAAGACTCAAAGTCTTCCTGAAAGCTGGAAAAATCTAAATATGTCATGGTCCGTGGTGAGCTGCCTGCCTGTAACCCTGTTTCCCTCTGAGGATTGTTCACAGGTGGGCGTGGCTGAGAGCTTCCAGCTGCAGCTGATTCCATCATCAAAGCCCAGGGGATTTAAGGAGCAGTGTGACACTTCACCACGCCGATGATTCCTCTGTTTGGGTGCTTCTCCACGTTTCAGCATCTCCAGAACAAACCTGGACCACACTGCTTCCTCCCCTGGCTGCCCGCTCTCAGCCGCTCACCTACCCTCACCAGTTCCTGCTCCTATCCCTCTGGATGAATCAGTTCTCTCACCTTCTGGATCCCCGCAGCTCACCCGGACCTCGCCCTCCCTCTACATTACACCACTACCAAGAAACCGTAAGCTCAGCCTCAAGATTAAATCTCCATTATTCACTCTGTCTCCCTCCTCAGGACCTCTCCCTGGAATTCCGCCGCCAATACGGAGCATCATCGGTTCCCGTCTCCCTTTAGCTCCTCATTTTAAAATAAACCTTTTTTTCACACCTGTTTTCTGTGGAGTGATTCTGCATGTCGGGTCAGGAAATTGCCACCCATCATGACAAAATATCCCTCTAAAGAGGTCCTCTGTGAAGCCAGAGTTCGTTATCATTTACTTTCTTTATTTCTCCTTTCTAAAATATATTCTGAAACACCCACATTCAAACTTTATCATCAATTTTGTCAAACAAGTGAAACTAAAAAAGATTATTTATGTCAGTCATTCAACTGAAAAGGTGAAACTAGGTCAGATATTTCAAGCCTTTGTTAGTTAGTTGTGGTGATTATGGCTGACAGCTGAGGAGAACCCCGCGTTCGTTCAAAATCTCTGACAATCAGAAATCTGTGAGAAGATTCAATTCTAGACTAAAAAGGTCCTCAAATCTGCTAATGAATCCAAACTCATGCAAAGGGTTCCTGAGCCTTTAGATGGTCTCTCATCTGAGCTGGATCACTGACATTTCATCATTCCAACTTTTCCAGTTCCTCCAGGATTTGAGACGCCCCGTTTTTCTCCTCTTAGATAAAATCAGCTGCAACAGAAACTCGACATTTGTGAATCTTGTCTGTTTGTTTGTTGTTCACTTGCACTTTGTTAAATAATGTTTTATAATTCAAATAAAAATCCACACGAACCGTTTTCACTAACATTACCGTTAGAAACGGACCCGTTTCCCTCTGAGGTCAAAGGTGAAGCGCTGATCCAAAGAGGGTTCTGAACAACTGCAGATGAACTCGTTTATGTGAAACAACTTCCGCTTTGACTGCAGATCAAAGATCCGCTCAAATCTAAAAGTTCTGAAACGGCAGAAGAAGTCAGATGTTCCGATCAAATCAGCTGATCCCTCAGCTGGACCAAACCAGAACTTTCTTCAGGTTCTGGTTCGGTTCTGGGTTCAGCTCTCCGGCTCTCTACCCCTGCAGGAACCGTATAAACATCTCCAGAACAACCGAACCGAGCCGTGACCCGAATCTGGACTCACCTGGCGAATAGCAGCAGTTTCCAGACCAGCAGAGATCCCGCAGCGGAGACGCGATTCCTGCTCATGTCCCGACCCAGGAACCCGGTGCAAATACGGCACCGAACCCGATCCGAAGCACCGTTCTCCTGCGCTCTTTTCACGGCTCCAGATGTTTTCAGCACCTCGGACAGCGCTCGCGCTCCAGCTGTGCTCAAACAGCGCGCGAGCTGAAACTCACAAACATTCCGCCGCCACTCCCGGAAGTCCAGGTGTTCTGTTCCTTCACATCACTTCAGCGGACGCAGCGGAGCGGTATCAGCCCTGAGTGAACCGAACCGAACCGGGACGGGATCAAACACGCACAGATGTTCCGCCGCTCTGGGCTCGTTCTGAGCCCTCACGAGGAGAGGGACTGAGCCCCGCCCCCAGCACGAGACGCAACCAGCTCAGCCAATCAGCGCAAGGCCTGTGAACATTTTTCCCGCTGAAATCCAGCAAGCCGAACCAAAGCCCGACCCGGTCCAGTCATCAGGGTGGAAGCTGACAGGTCCAGTTCTGGTCTTCTGTCCTGCAGCAGGACCTCTGACAGGTGGAGGAACAACAAATCCGATCGGCTTCAGTCTGAACCTGATCAGGTGTCCAGCTGCTCTGATCACACCTTCCTCTCTGCCTCCTGCTCTCCTCAGTAAACATGACACTGTACCTGTTGCACAGGTAGTCACCCAGAACCATCTACAGCGCCTAGGGCCTGGTTCAAGCCCAACCCATTTGGATCCATGGATCTTCTTTGTTGTAATAGATAGGGTCCATCCGTTTTCCTCAGGTCAAAGGTCAGGGTTAGGGTTGACCCTGGGTTAGTGACCTCTGTTCTAAGATGAAGAAGCCAAATTTCTGCTGTTTGGACCAATAAAGCTAGCTATACCTGGAGGACGCGGAGCTGCAAGTACCTGCTACCAACGGCGTTTCTACTCTATCGCTGGAAGTAGAAGTGATGATGATGAAGATAACTTTTCTACGTTTTCTTTCCGTTTTTCTACTGGAGTGATTCTACTTCTGAGGAGGAAGTGTGGCTGAGGAGGAGCTGACCTTCCTGGAGGAGGCGGGGTTGACCCTCGTTTAGGCCATCTTCCTGCTGACAGTGAAATGTTTCCCTCTGCAGCCTTCCCATCGTCATGGTTACAACACTGCCCAAAGCATCAGAATCACTCTGTTTTACTGATAGTCATTAGGTTCTGGGAGGTGGATGGGAATGTTCTGATCCGTGTTTATCTTCTCTGACATGTCTGAAGAAGTCGATGCCTCCAGTGACTGATGTCTCCAGCTGTCACGGTGGATCTGGTTCAATGTGGAACTACAGCAGCTCCGAGCCTCAAAAGTAGTCTGTAGGTGGAGATTCTCGCTGCTGGAGATCCTTCATGGCCTTTAAAGTCCAAACCCGCCAACAAGAGTCCCGCTTAGCCTCGCCCGAGTCCCTGCTGTAAGGGGTTGATTTACATTTGTTTAACGAACCATACGACATGAGATTCCATAGTGAATATTAAATTAATCTTATGGATCTTTGGGTACTTTTAACCAGAAGATTGGAACTTTTTATTGCAGGGATTATGTAACACTTTGTATTAACTGAGAGAAGAGAAGAGAGTCACCTTTAAAACGTTTAAGAAGATTTATTTCTAAACAATTTTAAACAAGACTAACTCTAAACTCTAAGTGATGAATGGATCTGGTGTGAATGAGACGTGAGATGGATGGTGTATGTGTGAGTGATGATGTCATCAGAACTCTCATATCTGGAGAAGCAAGTCTGAATGATGTTGTGATGTTTTGCTCTTAAGCTATGGTCAGAGTTTCATAAACACATGAGACGCCATGTTGTCGCTCCACACATACCCTTCAGGATGAGACCTCCGTACAGATCCAGAATGCCAGGTCCTCAGACCCCCCTTTGGCACCGGAGCCGGTGAAACAGCGTCAGCAGTACGACAGACTAGTCTTTGGATTGTCTCCAGGTAAAAAGCGACAGTTGGTTGTCAGCGTCAGATGGACCCCCCCTTGGGTCAGTGAGTTCAGCTTTTATTCTGAAAGGAACTGTTGCTTTGTTGGTAAAATGCAACAGATTTTATCCAGCTTGTTGGTTCTCTGCTTAAAAAGGAAGTCCGAGTGGCCGGTCCGATACTTCTCTTAGCATGTGGAGAACTGAACTGAGATGGCGTGGGGACTGGTTTTATTAATCTGGATGTTTTGATTTACGGTCGAATCAAAGTTGGCAGATTTATAAACACCACAGAGACTATGCCACGCTTCAGAAGGGATGGTTCTGATTGGATGAGCAAAAGCGTTGTGTCATGCGTTTACATTACGTGTGTCATGTTCTGTGTCCCTTTGTTCCCCAGCCCCTCCAGTTCCCACTCCAGGTTTTCCTCTTGTGTCCCATTATTATCCCCAGCCCTCTGTAGACTTCCCTCAGGTGTCCTAATCATTCCCCATTCCTAGTCAATCTTTATTTAGTCCTCCTCATCCG